GTCGTGTTTTTCTAATGTTACTTAATTGCTAAAAAAGACCGATTACTAGCTTTTTCTTATTAATTCGTGAAATTTCTCCCCGCGTGATCTTAATAATTTTCACTGATTTGCATACGGATCACGAATTAATGAATTATTAATACACAATCAATACGTCATTTATTCCTAAAAGAAAATCAATAGCGGAAAATGTTTATTAAAATAAATTTTTCTGCTTTACTGTTGAATAGAAGTGTCTATTAAAAGTAGTGCTCGGCAAAATCGAGTAATATTCAATTTTGGCAAACACTAGTAGTTGGTCAGTTTTGAGGATCTGCGTCTAAGCACTTATTCATCAGATCCGAGGAACTTCGCATCTAATTTTATAGACAAATACGTGTTGCTAGATATTTGTCATGTGGAATATTATGATTTGGAGGATATCCGGTAAAAACTTCTGACATAATTATTCTGAAAGAATAAATATTTGATTTTTGAGTGTATTCCTTTCCGTGTGCACATAATACCTCTGGAGCAATATAGGGAAGTATGTCAAAAAGCGCTTTAGAACTTGAGTCACTAATATAAGAGTTTTGATTAACCATATTTCTGGAATAAAAATCTTTATGCACTAGGTTGGCGTTGTGAATTGTATTAAGTCTTCTAGTGATGTAATATAAGTTGGCTACTCTAGAAGCCCAATCCAATTCAACATATTTACATCTAAGACTTCCCTGCTCTGCGTAATTACCATCTTTTTGGTTCTTTATTATTACATAAATCGCAATTGCTGAATTGCCCCATGCCTATGTTGATTTTTAATCTAAAATATTAATTAGAATAAATCTAGAAAAACACTTCCACTAGAAAAAGAAGTCAGAAAAGTAATCGGTCGTTCTAAACAAGATAGAAAGTAAGAAGACAACTGAATAAATTAATTGCTTTTGCTTGTGAAAAATGGGAATTCTAACCTTGTCTTTGATTCTGCTTTTGATTAGCTTTACTAATAATCCACACATCTCTAAATAAGAAAGAGCTTTGTCTCATTCGTTTGCATGGGGATAGGAAAGCATGAAGTTCAATGCCAAAGTTTGGCTAAAGGGCCTAAGAAGCCGCAAAGTATTGTGAGTAAATTTTTTAAGCATGTTTAACGTGAATGCTACATTGTCTTTTTCGCTTACCTTTTAACTATTATAAATCCGTGCCGTAAGTAAAATTTAGTTACTAGTAGTGCTTGGATAAAACTCGATTTTGCCGAACATTTTTTAAAAGTATTGTAAACGAAATAAAATATAGTTAAAATGTAATTATTTGCAACAAATCAAGTTGCAAGTTTTGAGAAAAAATTTTTTTACTTATAAAATCGGCTAGCCGATTTTAGAAAAAATCGACCGGCCGGGTCGAAAAATCAGCTTAGCTGATTTTTTAATTTCGGCCAGGATCACTATTTGAAAATGTAGTTCAGCCCATACGAAATTTTAAATTTTTTTTATTTTAATTCTAAACTTTTGTAGAATTAAAATAAAAAAATTTATCAAATTGATAGATGATTGTTGAGAAATCTTCAATAAATTTTAAAAAACATTTGAGTTTTACAAAAATCGGTAAATTTTCTTTTTTTTTTTAACTTTAAATGAAGATTTCTCAAGAACCATTGATTCAAATTCGATGAATTTTTTTTTTATCTTAATTCTGAAAGTTTATAGAATTAAAATAGAGTAAAATTATTGAATTTTGCAAATTGTGATTATATCAAAATTCTGTATACTTGCAAATCATCTACAAAAAAATTGCTCAATTGTCAGATAAAGCATGCCTATCTTTCACTATCTTAAAATAAAAATACCTCAGATGTCGCACCAATTTTGACATGGCAGATTTTCAATTTTAATTAGCTAACTGCCGTGGTCTACAAAATTTTGGCCCCATTATACAATTGTTACGTAATTTTTGGCTGTAATTAAGTTTTTAACTTTTTTATTACAAAAATAGAAAATTTTAGGGAAATAAGCCTATGCTACGGTAAAGTTAGTCCAGGAACATTTTCACTTAATAGTAGCTGTGATTTTATTAGTAAGATTTTGAGTAATTTTAGTCTAGATTTTTGATCGTCATTCTTGGTCAATCAAAATCGAGAATCTGCTATGACATGACTTCTAGGATATTTCTTGCAATAATTCTATATAATTTGTGCATTTTATGCTGAATTAAGCAATAATTATGATTTATCAGGCAGGAAATAAAATTTTGGGATCAGCTAGCCAGTCAGCTAAGCTGCTATAGTTGACTACATCGACTATGGTTATAGCCGATTGGCTAGCCGACTACTAGCTGACCAAACCCATCCCTACATGAAACATATCATGAATTATAATCAAAAAATCAATTTAAAGAATTGGCATCATGATAAATAACCACGTTTGAGATTTCAGTCAGTGCAAGAAATGAAAAATTGAACGCAGTAAACTCACGTGAGACAAATCATTCTCATTATTTGTCAAAATAAACAAAGCAAATAATTTGCAAATATTTACTTAAAAAAAATGCAAAGCCCTATATTTTTTTCTCTATAAATACAATACAAATTCGATAAAAAATTTTTTGGGGAACAGTGTCAGACCCGAAGTCGGCGAGTCTGTCGCTAAATCGAAAGTAGGACCGTGTAACCTCAACCTTGGTTAACTTGGGTTCGAAAGAGGCGTGTTAGATTTGGTCGAGTGGTTTATTATAGTTTGGGACAGAACCAGGGTTTGTTATAATTGAGGCAGGGTTCGTAACGAAGGTGTATTGAACGTTAGGTTCAATATACGAAACTTAAAAGTGTATAACTTTAGTAAGAGTAATTAATCAAATTACGAAGTGTATGGTTTTATTAATAAAGATAATATGATATCGGAGATAATTGTATGATAAAAGTGATTTAATAAAGCAAAGGTGGGAGTTGTTCTTCCCAAGGGCTCAAAGGCCTTTATTTATAATTAATTCTTTATTTACTTAGTGCATGCAGAATTCGCCGTATTCCCAAAATTACCCTTATTACTGTAATTATTGTAATTATTGAAATTCGCCTTATTCTAAAAATTCACCGAATTTCCTATTCCGGCCTGGAATTCCTGCGGTAAACCCAAATTTGGAATTCCCGGGTCACGCGGCCACGTGCCTGCGGTCAGGTCACGTTTCCGGTCTCACAACAGATATGTAACGCTCAAGCACTAGCACAAGTACTATCGCTATATAAAAATGCTGGAATAAACAATTTCCTTTTTGGATAAAATGGGCAATGTGGCGGCTCACGAGGATACACCAGAAATTCGCAAGTTTAAACAAACTTAGAAATAACTAGAAATTACCCGAAAATAAACATCAAGTAAAATGTTAATGTCGTTAATTAAAATCTAGTACATGTTTATTTAAAAAATTTGATGCTTAAAAACGGTTACAAATTAACATTTATAGGGTTTATTTATTGCTCTTTTCGATTTAGTCGATCGATAATTTTTTTGAGTCCCGTGAATCCGTGAATAGAACATAGACATCCACTTATTTTGTAAACTTATTTATCGATAAAAGGAAATATATGAATAATTAAAGTGAGTCCCGCAAAATATGACGAGCTTTGAAGCGACTACCATATTGTAATTATAGGACTAACGGGACTCAAAAAATAAACAGATCGTTGATCCAACTAAAACGAAAAGTAATCTATTTGGAGATAAAACGAAAATGATTCCTTGTATAGTATTTTTTTACTGATTTAAGAAACATATATTATAAAATGTTGGATCTAGTTATATTTAAGTTTTTTTTGGTAGGTATTTTCTTTTTTTAATTTTCATATTTTTATCTATTCATTGTCCTTTTGTTTTTTTTTAGATACATTTACTACCTTTTTTATAATTTTATAATTTTATAATTTTCGAGAGTTCTATGCTCAGAAATATATATAAGCATCTTAAGCTATTATTCTGTTGAACTACCTTTCTCTTAATTACTTTCAATTTTTTTTTTAAAAAAAAAAATAAGAAAATCTTTCAGTTAAACTGTTCGTTTGATTTTATTCTGGTTCGTTTTTTTTTTTTATCATATATTTTTCTATTACTATTATTAACTATTCTATATACGTATTTTGGTATTTAGATAATGAATTATAAGGCTTTTAGTCTCTTTTGGACTCTCGTAATCATTTATTTTACTGTCACTCTGGCATATTCGCCTAAACACCTCTTTCCTCGTGTCACTTCTGGCTGTACAGGTACCATCCCTTGTACGATAAAATGTGGAAGCTGCGCTACCAACACTACGTCTTGTACTTTTACGAATACTGGCCAACCTGATGCTAATGCTGACTGTAATGGACAACTAACTTCTCCTTCTTGCGGAACTTCTCCTTTTCAATGTAACTATGATTGTGGATCTACTTGCAACTTCACTTGCACCAATTGTACTCAAACCGGTATTAATTTGGACTGCAACGCGTGCGCTTAAATCATTTTTTTTTTTAATCTTTTATTTTCGATCATGATTTTTCTCAAACCTTTTTTTAAAAATTATTTTTTTTTATGTTTTGTTCAAATTTATCATTTATACTTGTGTAGCTATCGTTAATTTAAAAAAAAAAAAATTATTTCAATTTTTTTTTTATTAATCGATTACTGTATTAATTGTCAGATTTGTAAATTCTTTTGTTTAAAAGCTACATATATTTAAAGGCCCTGTATAAATACTTTCTAGTCATTCTTATGGTTAATCCATTTGTTGGATAACCGGTCAAATTTTTAGTTATTTATTTATTTATTTCATTTATATTATTTATTTTATTACCTTTTTTTTTTAACCTCAATTTTGCCCTGAATCTATCTCAATGGTCCAATGTACAATACTGCAATAATCTTCCTTGATATCATCATAAAAATTTTATCTATATGTGACTAATGCCAAAATTATTCATTTTAAGTGTTATTTTGGGGTTATTTGTTAATAAAATATATATTAAAATTGCTCAATAAAAGTCTTTTATTAGAGTATAGTAATGGTTTCTTACTGTATAGTTAAAAAATAATGCTCATGGGCTTTATTTCGAAAATTTCATCCTTTGAAAATCATATTTTGATTCAAACGATGACCATGCGTGCCTCGAAATAACACCCACTTTTGTATTAACTTATATTAACAAAATTTATTATATGATATTAGGGTCAAAATTTTTGACCCTTTTTTAATTATTACTTGCCCCTACATTACATAATGGAACGCTATGTCACATGATGCATTATGCAACGTATCTCTATACATATAATTACTTTATAATTACTATCTGTTTTTTTATCAGAATAGCTCTAATATGTGGTTATATGTACATATAAAGATGTTAAATAGTTAGGATTTAACCATTTTGGAACTTAAACCATTATTGTCAAAATCAAAATCGGTTAAACTAGTTTTATTTAAAAATACCTTAATTTTACTGTTAATAAATGTGGCAGATTAAACTAGAATCCAGTTAAAGTGAAATAATATTGCATAAAGTAAAATACTGCAGGTAAGCTACTGGCATTTTTTTAGGATTACATGCTTGTTTTGGAGTAGAAATTATAATAAGCAATCGGATTTGGATCAATTAGAAATCCAAATTTATTTTAATACAATTTAATTATAACATATTTTATCTTAAATGTTAATAAATTCTTTCCATTCTGCCATTTTCCTATTTAACAGCCGGCCCGCTTCGAGCAGGCGGGAAACCACCGGCTGATGCTGCTTCTCACTCGCTCTACTGCTACGATGATACCTGGCGCAATCTCACTTGCTAATCTTCTGGGAGCATATCATCGTTTCAGTTCAAATTACTTAAAATTAC